TGGTAATTATTGATAATATTCTTATCTAAACAAATTTCTAATGCAATCTCTTAATACTATTTACGTGCCGCCGCCCCCCTCCTCCGAGTAATGGTAATCATAAAGGCTTAAATTTATGTATGTCTGTAACAGTATGTGCATCACCTATACACATACGTACCGAGTTACGCATTACATTACATTTGCGTAATTTTGAAGCTACGAGTATAAAAACGATATAAAACGACCAACTCTCTAATTGTACTTTTTTCATACGTGATTTTGAAATCTAAATATTTTCAAAAGTGTAGGTCCTGGATTCTAAAAAATTCAACCAAATAACTGCATCGCAGTATGATCATCCTTACAGGGAAATTATGATTTATTAATTTCCCTTCCGTTTCGTGTAGTGGCATAGTGTTCGATTAACTATTTTAGCGTGTACATACAACGGTCTCCGATAGTATACGCACTACTTAAAACGACAAAAGCTCACGTAATAAATCAGCTATAGCGTGGGCAACTATATACTGTTTGGTATTTTTTCGCAGACGACACAACCAAAAGTTTCAATTGATAAGTTTTCAATGGTCCGGAGAAATTTTATAGTACTTCGCTCGCACTATCGCAACGATAATAGTATAAAGCGCGTAATGCTATACCAAAGCAATCGAGTTTAGTGTTTAAGACGATGGAAAAAACGTTTTAGGCAGTAAAAATTTGATTTAATTCCGGAGATGAGTTTAACGAATTCCAGGATTTATAACGACCTATTGTATTTTCAGCCTACCTATAGTTTTTGTATGGTAAAAAATCGTTCATGTTAGCGAAAAAGGATTTTAAATAATATCAACTTGATGTAAAAGTAACCATAAAAATGTTAATTTCATCGCATACATAACAAGAAAATATATCTCTGGGCTGTGTAAAAAATGACATTTTAAATCGTATGTAATCCGAAACTGTTTGAGAAAAAAATAAACAAATATTTATTATATTATACTTGTGGTTTGTTGAAAACGCTATTATAAGTTTAACATAAATAAATGTTTATTTAAGCTTTAAGGCGTTTAAATTCGTTTGACTCTTGCAGAATCATTAAAAATATTATTTGCGTATAATCATTTAATTACTTACGAGTGTAATCGATCAAACGTAAGAATTATCAATAAATCTTTATTTTTTCTACTTAACTTTTACGTTTACAAAAGCTTCGATTAACCAGTGATAACCTGAAAATTTCAACATTTTGTTTTTCAATTCTTAATGGATATTATGAATGGACTACAACGGTCTCCCACATTTCCCTATTAAACGCCACTTCCATATTCAGCAATATATTGATTTCCTTCAGGTTTTCATAACTGTATCATACCATCTCTGTCTAGGCTCTTGGTCTTTTCCCCATTGATTTGTTTTTGGTGACTTTTTTAATGATTGATACCTTTGATCGCCAGACGTGTCTTAACCATTACAGCTTTTTTTCTGACCAAGAAATGTCGTAGACTCTGCTTATTATACAGCTGTTGCAGGTTTTTATTTGTTAATTTTTGGAAACTTTACACGTCGTTATTATATACCGGTCCATATATTTTTCTCTCGAAAATCTATAATCTTTTTTCATCTTCCTGAGTGTTAGACCAGGTTTGCATACGTGCGTTACTACGGATCTCGAGTACACACAATATAGCTTAGAGGAAAACATTTCTTTAATTTAAATTTATTGATTATCATTTTTCTTTTAGTATTATTATTATTATTATTAAATATGTTTTGTTAGGTTATGACCAAACAAGTTCCTTATAACGAGCCAGTTTTTTATCTACTCACGTCCTATGCATTTTCCTTTTTGAGATATAATGGTACCCGACTGTCAATCCTGCAACAGCTTTCAATTTATTTCTTTCTCAAAGGCATATTATGCTTATTCATAATTTTTTTCCATATTGAAACGCATACGGATAAAATAACATTTAATTATCATAAATCCATAACATCTCAATAATAACAAGTGATAAATCAGCTGTAATCCATCTCATAAATCCGGAGATCTCTTCGGAACATCTCGAAAGACTAGAGGTCCTGATATTCAATACAAAAAGCCGACGGATTTCCTTCGCTAACCGGTGGACCAAATCCGCCGGACGATAATGATTATGAGCGCGCGTAGTGCGAAAAGCATGTGCATGAAACCGATGCGGAAAAAAATTAATAAGAAAGCAACACAGGTCCCGATTCGAATGTATGTAACGCGTACAGTGTACGATCGGAGAATGTTTGAGATATTTTACGTCCGTATACGCGTACCCATAACGCACGTACCTTTGTACGGTTGTTGCGTCGGAAAATTCGTGTTCACCGCTCACAAACGGCGGACGACCGCATCGGCTGTTTCTTTATTTTCATTTTTCATTTTTTTTTTTTTCAATTACATCAAAATGTGTATTTATTACACGTAATGTACAAAAGACCGTCCGCGACGCGTTCGGCGATACGTACGACGACATAAGACTTCAATGAGATAACCGTTTAGCGGACGGCGATAAAACGGAAAAACAGAAAAAGAAATTACCGCGATGCCATCTTCAAAACACTGGTTAATAGGTTTCGATAGCATTTTTTATGCGGAGGAAAAAAAAAACATTTATCACTCCATATTATATTATTTTCTTATTCCGTCTGCCCGTCGGTTTTTAAAACGCACATCTTCTTTATGCGAACTTGTTCTCCAGAAAAGTTTTAACGTCTCGTCAATATTTATGGCACAGCTACTTTTCGAGCTGAATTAAGAACTGTTATATCGATTTTGAGTTTTAATTACAATTTATTCGATTTCCATCGTTTTAACGGAAAAACTCCGGTGAGTGCGCTTACGCATATATACTACTACGTGCACGGCAGTACACCAATAAAAAACATGGTTTGAGTTTGTTTTAAAATTTCAAATAGCTTATTATAAAAATAAAGTAAAATGCTTTCGCCTAGCGTACCTACATATTTCTGTGTACTTACTACGTATAAACGACTACCAAATTGTTTTTTCCCAAAAAAAGTCAATTACAAAATATACGTTTATTCTAATAAAATTAAAAAAACGTTCCAAACGACTTTATACGTATATATTTATTATACACTATTTCTACAATATTATCGCAGTATTAAATCTACCGCGATAAATAAATACAAATATTTGTTCATTATAGTTGTGCAACGAGAAATCGTGCGCTGTATTACTTAAATAATAATAATAATACGAACTCATTTCCCTCCGACTTAAATATTAATTCCAATCAAAAAGACTACAAGAAACAAATCATTATAAACTCGTTTATATACATATAATATAGTTTCTTTAGAAATACCTATTTTAAATGACAAACATGTTATCCATAGCATCGAAAAAAAAAACAAACAAACTCCAGTTCGTTTTATTTTATACGGTATATTTGTGTAAGCTGTGTACATAAGCTTTAAACAAATCGCAAACTTGGCTGCAAATATGACCGCGCACAAAACATGAAATATTATTTAATATCTTATTCATTTCACTCCGCAGTCAAATGACGTACGCTGATGTTATTATCCTGCAGGTCCGTCAGTTATTAGACACGCGTTCGGTTTCAACCTTCAAACAAAACCGTTTGATTAATGGTCTATAACTCCTGACGATTTTAAAAAACATGAAATACTTATTACGACTATTGGAAACATTTCAAATCGTTATCGAAATTTCCCTCGATATCACGACACCTATACTGCACATCATGGTCGTGTACATTTCGACTTCGTTAACACACGTTACACACGCATAAGCCACGTACAAAATATTTTTGCCAAACTTATTCCTCTATTATCGTTTTTTCGTCATCAATATTCCCACTTGAGCCCTTATACGATTTTTGTACATGTTGTCTCATTACCTTTCTCATACTTTATTCGCAATCATTTTATGACAACTATTCGCGTATTTATATAACTCGTAAGTGAATGTCTACATGACATATATGGTATACCGTTACGCGTAACGCGAATTTTATTACTATGTCCACGGGGATCGGTATAAAATAAGTGAAAATTCGTGTACGGGAAAATAAAAGCAAAATGAAATTCCCACCGACATGGATACACATGGTACATTTATACATTTATTTGGCTTGTGTATTGTGAATTTAAAAACATAAACAATCGTTCGTCTGAGTAAATGTTTAAAAACTTGGGACTGCTACGTGAACGTTGTTAAAAATTATCGACGGGTTGATCTCATATATTTTAATATCGTTTTAAGTTTGAGTACAACATTAATATTATATTCGAGCTTGGGTGAAACGTCGCGGGCAACGAAACCCACGAACGACATTGATCGACGACAACTGCGAACGCGTTCATTACCACGGGCCAGGCCATAGCAACACGAGTTCATGTCCTCTGCACTTGCTCATTCTTATTACTCCGGTTTTGTATACGCGACGGGCGGACATAATATTCGTATGGCAACTAATAATAACGCAAAAACCATTAATTCGTTATTCATAAATATAATCCATTTGTAATGACATCAATGTTTAATCAAAGGTAGAATTAAAAATAATTTACAAACTGTATTTTTTACTCTTTTTAAACTACACGTAAAATTAATTTATCTCGTAAACTGAGTAAATATTATTTTTTCTGATACTTGATAAGATACGATTCTTATAAATCAACGTGACTTATTGATCAATCCGAAGTTAACGATATTATTGCGTCGACCTAACTCTATCGATCTGTTCAACACGGGAATCGATTAAATTGAATCAACTTGATCGAAAACCAATTAAACTTGACTTGATTGAGTTGAGGAATATCATTAACTTGCTCGCCGTCGGCTATTGTTGTATTACAGCCAGTTTTTGACGCGTTGGATGTCTGCTAATTGTTTGACGGTCGCGACGTTCCCGTCGATAATCATCGTTTCCCGAAAACTCGGGTTCACGTATGCGAAATATAGTAATTATAATAATGATGATGAATTTCGTATACAGGTGGTCGCAGGGACTACTGTTCCACCAGGCGATGGTGGACTGCGCGAGGGCGGCCATACTGATACCGTTGGCACACAGTCTCCTCTACTGCGTGCCGGTGAAAAAATGCAGCCTGGTGGAAACCGCGTTCCTGTTGCTGGTCACCGTGTCCACGATAAACATGCTGACTATCGTACTCAACGACTCGCCGGTGTTCCCGGAGGACGACGAGGAAGACGGCTATCAGGTACGCGGCAGATGCGTGATGCGACGAAGGGACGGCGGCATGGGCGCAATTAGGGTCCAAATATTGGGGGTGCTAAAATTACTGAAAATAAAATTGAATGGTATTTCACTGTAATTATTATAGATTATATAGATCTGAAAAAAAATACAGGAGTTCTACATTTGAACTCAGGGGTGCTAAAAACCCTGTTGCGCCTTTGTACGGTGGTTCGACTTGATTGGGTAACGCGATCGTACGGGGAGAGCGGAGAACTGAAAGATCCCGCTAAACAACTCCACTACCACCCTCACCCAAATATTCGAAGTGTTGGCTCGGATTGTTTCGTATGACGTTTGAAAACTTATTGAAGTATTGACGATTCGTGCACAAACATCCGTTCAAACCCATACATTTTGTTTGCCAATCTCGGCGCTTCAGCGAAGCCGAAATGGTCAACATATTATTCGATCGACCGGCAGACACATGGCAAGATTTTATTCTTTTTGGGGGGCGGTCGAAATTAATTTTAATACAATTTACATATATGATTGATTCATAAAATCTTTATACTGATAAATATTTTATAACATCATACGATCTATAATTGTTTTTATGTTTTCAACTAATGTCCATTTCATAAATATTCTGCTTTTTTGAACAATCATATCCGATACTTCGTCTTTAGAGACAGGAACATCACTTCATGTATTGACAGAAGTGCAAGTCTCGTTTAACGCTCATTTTCAGTTTTATTACAAACTAATGTTTTTAAGCGCTTTAGTGTTGAAACCAACGTTCAATTGCTGTTGTGAAATCCGGTAGTGTTGCTAAATGTTTAATAAAATATTTATGTTTGGGTAAAACTTCGTATCACTTGCATCTGCGATTTAATGATATTCGAAATTCGTCCATTCTGCAGTGGTTCGTTTTTGTACCACAATACGAAAAAATATTTTTGATTTTCGAACACTTATTTAATAACAAATTATAAGGATCATGATTTTTTTTATACCGGTATACAAATATTTCGATCCCCTGGTTGCGTACCTGTCGACCGGTTCACGATAATGTGCAGGAACTTTTTTCCCGTAGAGACTTTTCCGACCATCTAAGACGGTTGTACTTTAATTCGCATAACCTAAAATCAGTGGCTAGAACCGGTAGAACGGTGTAGCACGAAAGGCGTAGGCCCTTCGAGTTTATTAATTAGTGATCTGTATAACTTCGTGTCACTCGAGATTCGATCCGTAACAGTACTGAACACTGTTCTCGACTGATGCAATTCACTGCACGTTTGTAATACTACACCGCAACGTTGTACTTTTGCCCTTTTCATTTGAATGACGTTCGATTGAACCGATGTACTTTGAAATGACAGATGTGCACACGAAATACGAGTTAAAACACATACAGCCGTCATACAGTTATTAATTATAACTTTTTTAATTAAAATTGAATTAATAACATAAACTATAGCGTGCACGATTTAAATTTAATATAATACACTCGTCTATCGACGAAAAAAAAAAGTCATACACCGGCTCATCATAATTTTCAAATGTTGTGATAAGTTTGTTTTCAGCAAGTGCAGACGTCGGGCCATATTAAAATGTATACTAACGGTTCGTGACCGACAGTTATACAAACAATAATAAGCATAATATCAAATACAGACGAAAACAGATACAAAACGAGATGAGTTTTTAACCGACTCCGTTTAATGAACAAATTCATGTTTTGCTGGGAAATTATCCCAAGGAATTCGCCCTTCAGTGATGCTAATTCTAAATATTGTTTTAATCAAACAACCCTCGGAGCCATCGAGTAATTAGCAATCCTGTTGTACGAATAAATACTATGAGAATTGAATTATTTTAATTGAATCATATGAAATGATACCTATTATTTTAACCGGTTATGTTTCCAATTTACTTGAATTTCTCCGTCGTGTAACGTGCAATATATTCATGGTACAATTACGTATAATATTTAAAATATTATAATAAACAAAATCGCAAACAATCTGGCATTTTAATAGAGAAAACGAAAGAAATATTATTTCTTCACAATGTTGAGATAAAAACAGCAGTTGGCTAGAGTCTACCCTGTCCTTTTTTTTGTGGTTTGCTCGTTCGTAAAAAAAAAAAAAACAAATAATAATAATAATAAAACCACAAAATTATATTCAAACAAATCGCAACATATACATGAACGCACAAAAACATTTTGGAAAAAAATAATTTTTCGTTTTAAAAAGTATAAATAAATAAATCGAAATTGAATAATAACCCATTAGATTCGAAATAATAAATATTATAATACAATAAAACAGGTGAAAAAAAAAATATAAATATTTTGCAAACAAGAAACTTAATAAATAGAGGACGGATTTAAATGCCTTTATCCCCTGAAAATATGCTTCTTAAAATACTTTACTGCTATTTTTAAACATGAGTTTTAAATGTAATAAACTCATTATCGAAAAAAATCAATTTTATTAGATATTATTATGGAAATAAGGGAGAAGAACACTTGATTATTTATTGCTCTCATTGTTATATTTCGTGGCCTTAACCAATAATATTTCTTATTTTTACTAACAATGTTGTCAATGTGAATTAGTACTGAGGAAATTTACCCGCAGTTGAAATAGTAAAATTAAAACATATTATTCGAATTCATATTAATGCACCTTTTAGCACTAGGCGATTAGAACAAAATTAGCACTACTAACTAAACTTAGTACTATTCGTGCATTAAAATTGCGAAAAAAATTCAAACTATACAGAATACATTTGTTGTTATCCAAAACAAGAACGATTAAAATCGTGCACGTATCTTATCGCATTCTGAGTACCAAATTCTAATAAACATCGATTGTACATCCGTTTTCTAGTTTCAGGCTAAAAATGATTGTAGTACAACAATTGCGAACAAAAAAATACTGTGCGATAATCGTAGTTCTTAAGACGGTTTTACGATTTTCCAAATAATATTTCCGTCCCCGAAGACGTTCACCGAACTAGTAAATGCTATTTCGTCGACGTGCACGTTGAGATCTGGTGTAAAACCGTTGCAATAGCGTCCGAATAAAGAGTTCCTTATTTCGCACATACTCTCGAAACGATTGGCCGCCGCGCAATCCGCACATACATACGTATAAGCCGGAATGCGATCTAAGGAATTCTAAGAACGGGATAAGACCCTGAGGATATCTCGATTAGTCTGCACGCGGAAAATAGACGGGGGGGGGGAATACTTCCGGTGCTCGACGTGAATGCGCAACGCTTGTTGTAGGGAGCATTTTACACGAGTACGATTACTCGAAAATCACTTACCGGACAAGAATAAAATGGGTACCCGCCGTTTTCCCCCTTGCGCTCGACAGGTGTGTTTATATATACATTTATACATATAGATACAGTATTTTCGAACGGCGAAAAAGAGAGAATTATCCCTATCCAGCAGCATCTACGCCGAGAATTTTAAATCGCCTCGCACGTGCAACGAAGAAGAAAAACTCCAAGTCCTTGCGCATAATCCTGCACGTTTTCGAATAAAAAAAAAAAAAAAAAAAGGAAAAAGGAAAAAGTCGATAAGAAACCGTGCTGAAGATTGTTTTCAGTCGTTCGTGTACCATCACTTGACCGGCGGCAAACACGTGAATACACGACGTGGAACAAAATCCAAACTCGGTGTAGGTCGCCATTGCGGATACGTGAAACTTTTTACAAGTATATTCTTGTGGTCGAATTCTAAATGTTAAACCGCTCATTCTTATTATCAATTAACTTATTAGCAAAATTTACATTCGACCTCGTGAAGTTGTTACCGTGTTGTTAACGTAGTCCAATAAATTCGAGTAAGAATAATTACACGAGCGTATTATTATAATAAGCTTACATTTAATGCTCAGGTCTTCTAGACGTTTTAAAGTTCGTGAACGTACGCACTGAAATGCATAAAATATAACCGTCATTATTCGTAAGATTAATTACTTAAGCTGTAACTATAAAGTCCATAAAATAAAACTTACCCGGACAATCTTCCAATACTTTAAGCTCGCGGTTTTATATTACGGCTGGCATACAAGCCACGCATTAAGCTTTCGTGCCGTTAAGTTAGTTCAACTCATTAATTTTATCAAATAAAACATAAATGTGTATGGTACACATGAACGGTACGTTCACACGCTATACACGACCCGTTTTCGTTTGCGAAGTCGTGTCCCGTGTTTTTCCCTCGAAAACCACTACTTTTCCGAAGTATTAATGTCCGTATTTATTCCTGATCGACGAATGGACGTTGCGCGGAAACGGACTTTGGTGCAGCTCTGCCGAACGAATAAAGAACAAAATGTGTACATTACATCTAACATGCATATATTAACGGTGATGTTTTCAGACTAGTGTTTTACAAGGGAAAGAATGGATTACATAGGCGCGACTAGAGGAGAGGTTGGGAATGAGAACTAGCCCTCTAAACATTTCCATAGCCCTCTCGAATTAAAATTTATGAATCTCAGAATTTTGTGTTTGAGATAAAATCTAATAATCTATGTCTGTAATCTGAAATCACGGAATATTTAATAAAAGTTTGACAATTGTTTTTAATCAGTGAATTACGACTTTCGCTTTCCTTAGGAATATCCGAAATCGCGCTTCTCCGATTTAAACCCCTCAACTACCACCACCCCCACAATTAATGCATTATTCGTTCTCGTACACAGGTGTCCTCCGTGCCCCTGCTGCTGGACTCACCGCAGTGCGTGGTCTTCGGCACGTTCATGATATGGTTCGCGGCCATCACCATCAACCTGGGCCCGACGTTCATGAGCGGCGCGCTGGCCGCCGGCGCCGAGGTGACCAGGGACCGGCCGGGGTGTCCGCTCGTGCATGGGCCATTCCGGCACTACATACTCAACGCCCTGTGGATAATCATCAACCTGTTGTGTGTGCTGCTCACGCTGTTTCACCTGCGCAAGCTTCACAGAGACCTGACCAAAGCCAACGTGGAAGCCGTCCGGGTGGCCGGCCTCGTCACCACGCTGGTCAACGTCACCGGCAACAGTTACTCGGACCCGCGACACGCGACCCGGGTGAGCATAACGCACTGTTCATATGATTAACTATAGTTAAACCGTATCCGTAGGTTTCATAAAAATAAAAAACTGATCCGAACAAATCTCCCGACACGTGAATCCGATATTTGTCATGCGCGCACTCGCAGGACGAGGACCACGAACGGTCCGGTTTTTTTTCGCGCCCAGGAAAAGGATCTCATGCACTGCAACCGTGCGCGTACGTTTACGGATGGCTACACGACACAGCGTTCGCGAAAGATTCCGTGTACGAATTCGGGATAAAACTTCATTTCAAATCGTTCGAACACTTACACATTTCAAAAACATTTTCCAGGAAACCAAACAAAGAAAATAGCTCATGTAAATTGTGTTATTTCTATTTGACATTACATTACGGGCTAATGGCCAACGTACGGTTTAGGAAATAATTAAGAACAATATAACAGTCTTATATCAAATAATACGAATAAGTATTATTACACATTTATAAGCTAATGAGGTTCTAGTTTGATAATCGGAACATTCAGTAGTGAGAGTGTTTACGGCCATAATTTGCGTTGTGTTGAGGAACATGATAGGGATCACATACATGGATGATATGCTAAGAACTCGGAAATTAACCTCAACAACAAGCTCGGTTTTTGTTTACGAGTTTTCTTTCATGATTGGACGCGAGTGTCTAGAGCCCTGACTGACCTTTAGAGTTTTGAGCTGTTGATTTATTTTGTATCCGTTTGAATCGAGAGGATGTTTCTTGTCGTAAAACAGAATAATTTTTTTATATGGCGGCGTTGAAATTAGCGGTGTGTATGTCGAAATCAATGTTGCCGGTTAATCGTGCAAAAAATCACAGCCTTCTGTCAGGTAATCCTGACTACATTTAATGCAGCATTAAGGATGGATACAATATCTCTGAGCGTTCCCGTATGGATGGCATCAAATGCACAATGCATAATCCGTAATGGCTGACATGGCAAACCTTTCTCGGTTTTGCAACGATGAACTTGAAGTGAAGTTTGTTCGGTTTGAATGTTGAACTCGGTGTTATCAAAAACGACATAAATGAATGACAGATATGGTCTTCCGGTCCTATTCAAAATATTTCCAACATTTCGTGCGGTTAGATTAAATTTAGTTGGGGACTTTTTGACGTCATCAACGGAATTGAAACGACGTCGATGACGAATAATCGCTTTAATTGAACGAGTGTTATGCAAATCCGTGGAATGATAAATTTGAACTCATCGGACAACCCAAAATGTTTTATGTGAGGTCGCAGTTTGACGCTTCGATTTTTAAGAGGTCTTTTAAAAGAGAATAAAGCCGGCCGGTCCCACGAAAATAAAATCATTTTTTATATTGATATAAGTGATTATGTTCATGACTAAAAAATTAAAAACATTAGTTCGATCCCTTGACAGATATTTTATCTAACAGCATTTTTTATAATATAAACATTTATCAATGGTTTTATACTTGTGTTTCTTTCGGAAAACCAATTTTCGGAAAAATACCACATAGTGTAGGCGTGTCGGTGTAAGACACCGACACCCGAGAGCGTATCACGAGTGATTTACCCTTTACCGGTAATAACTCCCGTAGCACTGTCTTCACACCGTACACTAAATCACTACCTACTGACGCGGAGTTGATTCGGTTTTCGCGAAATAAAAATAAATAATAATAAAGGTTTTATTACTTTTTTACGTTTCCCTATTGCGCAAGTTGTTCGTTCGCGTATACGTACACGCGAACATAATACTCGGGACGCGGTCGATTTATGCCGGGAACACAGCCGAGAGAGGCTAACTTCCTCCCCCCGCAGCCAAAACGATCGCACGGAAAATACGTCCGGCCGAGGTATAAGATACCGCGGTTCATACATAATATACATGAATCATGGTATATTATACAACGAGACGAGATTTTACGCTATCGATACGAATAACGGCATTGGTCGTGCACAAGAGTTGCGAGGACAACCGAACGTTCCATCGGGAATCAATGCGTGTGGAACACATAAAATCTTCTACGCCGCTCTGCAGGGCAAGGTTGGCGAACGTTTTGACACGCGTGTCAATATTTCGGTAACACGTCGATTTATATATAATTCGTTTTCTAAAAAAAAAAAAAAAAACGATAGTTGAATATTATATAATTTTTTAAATTATGAGTTCGTTGAAATCATGGTTATCTGGTAAACGGTGCAAGTGTATGCAATCGACCGAGAAGATAATCGGGGTACGAGAACGTGTAATTGTGAACGTAACACAGAAGGGCTGATTGTACTACGTGTATTCTTAAATGGTTTCATACCGCCACGCTTGTTTGGATAGAAACATTTTGTTCTTGGCAAACTCCTGAAAAGGCCCTCCTGATCAAAGGCACGTTTAACGTCACAACGATTATCGATACAGATCCCGCGGGCACAATTGAAATCCGGACCCTGCTCTCACTGTGACCGGAACGCGAAATAATGTGTTGGTTCTAAGTTCCTATAATATTGCAACCCACTGCCCGTCAGTAACGGGACACGCGAACGAATAACACCGAGATAAATAGTAATAATAAATTGCGTTTACGATTGAATGCTTAACACGTATGTTATCAGTGATTCGTAATTAATAATTTGTCACGGAATATTACACTCTCTGTGAGCAGACGTGCACCTTGTTCGTGGTCCGCAGGCAGTTAGCCGCACCAGATCGATGTTATGCATTTACACGTGCAGTGACGCACAGAAGTATTTTGAAAACACATGCAACTAAAAAAAGTTACCCATCCACTCACCAATTTTTATTTATTTTTTTTTTTAACAAAAATAACGTTCGTTTAAATTGCTGTCTGTAACTGTAATTAACTCTTAAAACAGCTATTGATTTAAGAAATTAAGATTTATTATAATTAATTAAAATTAAGATGTCCTACACCCAGTACACTACCCGTATAGGTATAATATTTGTGTAATAATAATAATGTTATTTGCTTACCATACTCCATAATGTTTGGTATCCAAATTCTCCAATTATATACCCACCAATCCACCCATACACCCACCACCGATGAGAGCACATGCAATTGCACCCCATGGTAACCTGTCTGGGCGCCACTGTACACGTGAGTATTGTACGAAGCTTGGTGGTCGCAAAAGGTTAATTTTTCGTGGCATTGATTTTCCACGTTATTGTAACCCATAAGATCGCGCTATCCCGGTATTGCATTAAAGATAAATATAACTGTTTAAAATGATAAGCGCGAGCTTAGACGATTGGACCACAGGAAAAACAAAACGAATCAAAGTTTCGGCGTCAAACCGCTTCACCTATACCCGTTACAGACAAACATGCGCTAAATAATTGTGATCTGAACTCGGAACACTCGACGAACTAAGATTTTGATCAAATCATTTATTACCGATCGAACGCGGTTTCGCTGCATCGAACCTGATCTTACATTTATTTTGCACCAGATGAATTCGCATTCGTTGTAATCGCCATCAATCGCCATTGCGCGTGTTCTAAAAGTCGATTAAAACCCATCAAATATCAGGGAAGTGTTCGTCCACGGTACGTTTCGAATGCCCGTAGGAATTCGGCCACCGGGTGCAGAGAAATAATACGTCGGACGAATCACACAACATTCATGTACTTTATGTACGAGATCTCATGATCTGGTACAACCGAAATACCACCAAAATAGCGACGAGTAAACATTACTTGAAGGTCCGTTCACATTCGAGATCTCGCAATAAAATACTATTTCGGAGATAAACGTGAGCTAGCACCGCCACAGTAAATCGAAATCCTTCGTTTGAAATATCGGTGTAGTTAAAAAAAAAAATCATAACGTAAACCTACGCAAAAATAACGCAAATCATTCCGGAATGATAATAAAGTAATGGAAAAAAAAAATAAAAAAAAGTTATTCCGGTACCGGGAATCGAACCCGAGCCTCCTGGGTGAAAGCCAGGTATCCTAGCCACTAGACCATACCGGATTGGTGATAACAGTGGAAGAAACACATTTATTTGATAAAAGTATTTAATCTAATTATTTTATTGTTGATTATATAAGTATTCTACTACACGGGCGTACGCAAACCTGTATTTCAGGGGGTTTTTACTATTCTTTTGGGCCCTATCTTAACAATACGTGTGACATCACTTTAATTTTTTATTGAATACTGTAATAATTACAGTACCAAATATTAGTCTCGACGAATATTTTTTCCTTGAATCTCGTAAATTTTTCCTGGATGGCTTCATATACTTATAATTTGTATTTTCGTAGTCTATTACTGCTGAATACACACTAACCGTTATATTATCATAATAAATTTTTCCACGAAAGTTTAGAACATTTTGTTTTATTCTGTCTATTACGAAAAATCATTTATTTTTTAAATAAATATTTTAGAAAAAATCACATTAAATTTAAACATCAGTTAAAATACAGGCCCATTACTCTTAGACTTGAATTATAAGGCCCCGTTTAATAAATATTTCAGGGGGTGCCCGAGCACCCCCCGTGCGCACGCCTATGATCTACTATGTTTATAATCAATAATTGTACAAAGGACAATATAACATAAATAATATTAGCATATTATAAATACCGTTTTTACCGTTTCTTGAACCGTTATGAACACAACATGCAAGCAACTACGCACATAGATATCTTCTGTGAAATCCAGTTTTTTTTGTTTCAATAACAAAAAAACCGTACGGCGCTGCTGCGCTACGACTACACCATATTCATTCAACATTATTCAAGGAAGTAAGGAAACGTTTCCGACGGGCCGTGAACATCAATAAATCCGGGCACCGGAATACGTGGGGTGCGCGTCAACCAAGGGGCGACGGGGGAACTACTAAAAATCGGGTCGTTGAACATGTTGTACGCGTTCACCCGCGATCTACAACCCTAATTGCACGGCCCCGAGACGTACGTCGAAGATTACCGGAGTTCGCTTAAAAGTAAACTTAACCGAACTACAATGCGCGCGACACCATTCCC